CTGCAGAAGGCTCACACAAGGGCTCTGTGTCAGAGGCAGAGAGGAGGCCAGAGGCATATGCCAGCTATCAGCTGCCTTCAGAGTCAGACATCAGTGAGGCAGACAAACAGCTGGAGCCTGTTCCCAGTGTGCACATGCGCAGAGTTGCCAGATGGTGGGAACAGCTAAAGAACAGTGGTCAACTTGGGAGTGAGGCCAGCGATGAATGGCCCTCCCAGAGGAAATAAAAGGAGCAAAAGGGGAGTGGAGTTTGCAGGAGACAATTAGTTCGCTTAACTTGTTCGTGACACTCGGAGACTCCTTGGCAAGTTTTGTAGATATCGGCCTGGCAGCTCTCCAAGCCAGATAAGGTCTGCGACTGTAAATCCTCCCTTGAAAGACTTTGCTGGATATGAATGAGCAGAATTTACAGCAAATTAATAAAAGGGTTTTTTGTCGAGACAAGGAGTTGTTTCGTGGTTTGGGGAAGCCAAAGCCAGAACACTTTTGCTGTGGTTAGGCACAAGCAAACATCTGGCCTAGGTCCCAAATTAAATAGATTTAGATCCAGCAAGCAAGTTTCTTAGGTGAAGAACTCTTGGGAAGCCTCGGTCAGAACAGGAATGGACCTTGGAAGTCTTCTAATCCAACCCTCTGATCAAGGCAAGAGTCCTTATATCACCCCAGACAAATGGATCTCCAATTTTTTCCTTGAAAACCTCCAGCAATGGAGCATCCACAACTCAGGGATGCTAGCTGATCCATTCATTAATTGTTCTGCCAGGAAATTTCTTCTTATTTCCAGGTGGGATCTCCCTCTGAAGGGTTTCCCCCCATTTTTTCTTATCCTGCCTTCAGGTGGTATGGAGAATATACCTCAATGCCCTTTTTCCTGAGACAGCACTTCGGGTATTAGAAGAAGGCTATCATGTCATCCTTAAGGCTTCTCTTTGTCAGGCTAAACATACCTACGGTAGTTCTCTTGATCGTTCATTGTATGATTTAGCCTCCAGAGCCCTCATTATCTTTGTTGCTCTCTTCTGCACTCTTTCTAGGGCCTCAGCATCTTTTCTGTACCATGATAAGCACTTCATAAAAGTGTCCGTGATGGGTATTCAAAAATAGACTGTCCTCGATCTGCAAGGTTTAAATTCTGCAACTTTAGACTATCCTGGCTTAAGTCATTCAGACAGTAATGACACCTTCAGATAGATGATGGGACTTTTTAAGCCAGTGATCAAAAACATATCCTCTGGCAAATATTTAACCACATGAGGTAAAAAAAATAATTTCACGCGTCTTGAATTCATCTCTTTCTGATCAGAAAATACTGACTTTGGAGGGCCCCAAAGGTGCTTTTTCAAAAGGCAATTGGACTTTGTTTTTCCTTCTTCAGAACGGAAGAAGCTTCTTAAATGAAAAGCGAAAAGTCTTCAAGGAAAGTCCAGCTGCCTTTTGAAAAAGCACCTTTGGGTCACAACCATGACCTGGACGACTGAGAATCTCCATAAATACTGACTTCTGATATTGTAAGAGGAGAAAAATATCTCTCTTTATATTTTCTTCAAACTGGTTTTACCAGCTTAAACTATTTTTCCGTTAGCGTTTTCCTTTTCTAAAGACTTGAACACCTTTCTTGGAAAGAGCAGAGATTTCCTTTCTTGCTTGTTTTTGGATCCTGTTTTGGAGTTTGTTCGACCTTCAGATCAATCTCAAAAATTGCTTTCAAAGGATTAGCAGGCTAATCAAAGATAATGAGGGAACAGGAAATGGGCATGGCATATGGAATATGGTACTGTTAGCTGAGGCAGAAGCTGCCATACCTAAAGATGAAGCAGGAACATAAGCAGGGTACACAAAAAGCCAGGAATCTTGTCTAAAAGATCCCTTTCGAAGACAGATAACAAAGAAACAAGTCATTAAAGGAAACAAAGGAAAATATGTCATCTGAACCAAACAAAGGCCTAAACACATAGGAATCCCTCCTGCCAAATCCCATAAGTCAGTGTTTTTCAACCACTGTGCCACGGCACACTAGTGTGCCGTGACATAGTGTAA